GATGAAATGCCAAACAAAAAGGCTATTGAAAAAAGTACCTCTACTTGGATCACCCGTTATAAGCTTTGCGATTTTCGTTTGTTAAAAGGAATAGACCAAAGAATTTGTTCGTAAATTCTTGACCAAAAATAATACTGTAACGATGCCACTCCTTATTGGTCAGCCATGGTTTCGTGTGTTTTTTATATTTTCAAGGGCTGTCTTTTTACAAGCATAGATGATGTTAAAAGCGCATCGTTGAATGACCTAAAGGCTATCTCTAAAAACGAGTGTGAGAAGTGTTTCAACGATTGGAAGAAACGCTGACATAATTGCATATAATCGAATGGGGACTATATTAAAGACAACAACATTAATATATATTTATAATATAAATAAATATTTTTTTCAAAAAAACGAAAATGCAGGAGTATAATAAAGAATGGAGGGCATTATGAAGCAGTGAAAATATATACAACTATTATAATGGAATAGGTTGTGTGAGAGGAGTATGGAGGATATCTCCATATGCAAGAATATTGGTCAAAGAGAGTGGTCTGCTTTATTCCTCGACTTGAACCGCATCGAAAATGTATGAGACGATATTGAGTATTGCGCCGGTATCTGAAAAAAGAAAAGTAAAGATATATAACAAAAATTATATACATATATAATATAATATATACATATATACATATATAAATAAACGTAGAATATAGTAGAATCCGAAAACCAGTTGAATTAAAATTTATTAATACTTATATACGAAAATCTATTTTCTCCTTTTATATGAGCACTGCTATTTTTGCGAACATAACTGTAAGCCCTATATACAAACATATGCGTCTCGTACGCATATAATATTATTATTACTCATACGCCTCCGCAGACCTGTTTGCACACACCTACCTTTTTTACTATATTATTCCCTGCTGCTTGTCGCATGTCCTTTAATTTGGTTTGCTTTCGTTGCGTTTTGTTGTTTTTATTGTTGTTTTTGCTTTTTTCGTTTTTTTTTCCAACTTCGAAGATTCACATTTCGTATTTCATTTTCCTACTCAATTAATAAGTAATTTCCCGTCCATATTCATTTCCTTCCTGCTTTCGCTGGCTTGCGATTTTTCAATATTTAAAACCTGATTCCAATAATGAAAGCACAAAAAAGAATATGAAGCGTAAGAAGAAAAGGAAAAAGCGAACAGCGCACGGTAATAGCTAGACTGTCCCAGCTGAATACAGGAAACGTGGTCGATAACAAACACAGTGAAGCGCAAACACACACACATATGTATGTAATTGTATGTGATTGTATGTTTTTATACTCTAAACCGGGTATATTAAGTTTGTCACAAAGAAAATTTCCCAACAGCCAGAAGAAAATTTCGGAAACCCTATAGAGTATATATTCAAAACAGCAACGTTATGAGTTGAGTCGATTTAGCCAAGTCCGTCTGTATATACGCAAACTAGTCCCCAGTTTCTGAGATATCGATCTGAAATTTTTTTCACGCCTTTTTCTCTTCAAGTAGCTGCTTATTTGTCAGAACCGCCGATTTCGGAACACTATAGCATATATAGCGTTCATACAAACTGACTGATCAAAAACACGTTCTTGTATGGAAAACTTTTTTAATTGACGAGTTATCTTCACGCAATTTGGCATAGATTATTTTCCAAGGTAACGCTATAATCGCCGAGCATATTGCGCACATCGAATCACTATAGCATATAGCTGTCATACAAACTACCCGATCAACATCAAGATAAAAATGTTTTTTTACTCTTTTATGCAATAAGAAATACCGCTGTGAAGCGTATTATAGCTTCGGTGCAGCCGAAGCTTATATGTTTGTATATGTGTGTGTGTTATAAAAATCGGATATACTTGTACATTCATACGGCGTAGGAAATTATTGCGCTGCTGTGACAGTTTTTCCATTTGTATTCCACAACATACACATATTCACGCACACACATAGTTATATGGACCTTCATACATACATTCATATATTCCATATATATGTGCATATGTAAAGCTGTATTTGCATATGGGCATTTGCATTTGGCTAGATATGTTTGTGTGTTAATATGTAAGTATCTCTGTATATGTATATGTAAGTATGCAAGTATGTATGCATACAGGCATGCGCTTGTGTTTGCTGACTTTTCCTTTGCATACTTTCAGGTTCATTTTTCCCAGCTACCTTAATGGTTTTTCCATGTCACAAACGCCGCCGAAATGAATCGTAATGCCATTGCATGTTAGTCCTGCTGCTCATTGTACTCACATACATAGTTAACGGCTTTTAAATTTCCTCAAACAAACTGACAAACATACGTTTATGTATATGTATATGCACTCATCCGCATTTCTTCTCCATAAAATATTGTTTTTGTTCGATTGTCAGTACATTCACCAGTATTTGCATGCCAGCGGCCTTCCCGACATCTCTTAATGCGCTTGCGATAATGATAGTCAATGCACGCACTGCCGTTAACTTTTGCCATACATACATACATATGAGTGTATGTATATATGTATGTATATGCAAATGACTTTGTAGGCATTGGGCACCTCAAAGAAAACGCCAAAAGCGGAAATTCGCACAAAGATTCATTGTTTATGTGTGACGTAGCATGCAGTTTGTTGTTGTTGCTTTGGTCGAAAAGTCAATTGCCTCCAGATGGGTTTCAGTTCTTAATAATTTCAGCGTCAACAGTCCCTTATTCAAAAATTTAAAGAATAATAAGTTGGCGGTCTCCTAGTTGAAACCGGTACAAAGAGCACATTGATATCGTATTGGTATCTGATATTTGATCTACTGTCATAGAAACGGGTGAGCTTGGTTCATCTGGCACGTAATTCACTCTCTATATACCTTAAGGTCTTAAAATGGATACTCTACAGCATATGTATATACAACCAAAGTCTTGTCGTTCGTATAAGATTCGATCTGAACAATATACTCGGAGTTTGTAGTTTTTATACCCTGAACAGGGTATATTAATTTTGTCACAAAGGTTGTAACACCCAGAAGGAAACGTCGGAGACCATATAAAGTATATATAAATGATCACCGTGACGAGCTGAGTTGATTTAGCCATGTCCGTCTGTCTGTCCGTCCGTCCGTCTGTCCGTCTGTATATACGCGAACTAGTCCCTCAGTTTTTGAGATATCGATCTGAAATTTTGAACACTTCTTTTTCTACGAAATTAGGCACGAGTTATTGCTTAAGGCAATAAATTATTCTCCACAAAAATTGGTCAACTGCCATACAAATTGAACGTTCGGAATCAAGTTTTTGTAAGGGGCCTTTGTTTTTGTGAAGGGTATTATAGCTTCGGCGCAACCGAAGTTAACGTTTTTTCTTGTTGTTATTCAGTTTGCCTGGGACTATAATCCATGCAGCTATATATATATGGCAGCTATATCCTATAGTGGTCTTATGCCGGCTATTCCGACAAATGAGCAGCTTTTTTGGGCGAAAAGGACGTGTTTCAGATCGATATCTCAAAAACTGAAAGACTATAAGAAGGATATACAGTTAGTCAGACGAACGGACATACAGACAGACGGAAATGGCTAAATCGACTCAGCTCGTCAAACTGATCATATATACATACATAGTATATAGACTTTATGGGGTCGCCGACGTTTGCTTCTGGGTGGTAAAAACTTCATAGTAAACTTAGTATATCTTGTTCAGGGTATAAAAATTACGGACATTGGCTATAATGTGTAACAAGCACTGTCGGAGAAAATTTTATGATCAACAGACGCGCAAACAACCCTAGAATGCATCGGATCTTAATCTGGAATGGTTCTTCAAACACAACATTACAGAAAGAACGGCTATTGTAACTCTTAAATAAATGTTCAATTATTATTCTAAGTCAATAGCGTCGTAGTGTCGAAAGATTCCTATCGAGTTCAGAATCGCTATCCAGTCGTTGCCTCAATTGAAAATGCCAACCAAAGACAGTTTTTTTCCAACATCTACTTCTTAAGCTATCATAAGCGCATACCGAACTGAAAGATCCAGTGCTGAAGGCTTTGAGTTCATTCGCATAAGTTAACCAAAGTTCGTAGATCCAATCATTTCGTTTGTAATTGTTGTTATTATAACGGTTATGCAGACCCTGTTTGGGTGGCAAGGCGTAAGTTAATTGTCATCAAAGTCATCTAACGACAGGCTCAGGAAACGTGCTGTTTCGACGGGATCAGACCATAGGAAGAGAGGTATTGGGTGAGTTGGTTTAATAGCGCATGCTAATAGGTTAGGTAGAGTCATACGGGAACTCGTTGCATGCAGGACATATATTTGATATGTCGGGGTCGATTCTGAGCGAAGAACGAAATTGCGCAGGGTCACTGTAGATGCGCGAGTTAACTCGAACTCTTCTTCTGCTATGGGTGGTGGTTTGATTCCAAGGACGCCATTCACTGGGAGAGTTAGTTAACGCACGAATTACCGTAACAGAAATATGTGTGCTCTTAGAGGACTTCTTAATTATCTATGGATAAGAAAGATTATCGAGTCAAATTAGGCTTTAATTACTATTGATGAAGATAAGTTTGCTTGTCATTGGCCTAAAAATTCTAAAACCTGTGGTTGGACTTGTTCTTAGAGCAGCGAAGGAGAGTTTTCCAGCAGAAAAAGGGTGCTGAAAGTGGAAAAAGAATTTATGCCAGCATCCCAATGTCATTACGCAGACTGGAGGAGTTTGTGATTTCATTTTCAAAAGTATAAGATTTTGCGAAGTAGAGTGTATTCTTTTGTGGATTTAACTGACAAGCTCATATAATGACATTGACGTGAAAATTTAAAAAAAAAAACCCGTACTCGTACTTTCTATGGATTTCTTCCTCTAGTTCAGGGATATTTTCTTGGAAGTTAAACGGGGGTGGTGTCCTCATGGTTTCAAAGAATTTCGGTTGCTATTTATTATTCATTATGCTCCTTATCGAATACTTTTCTGACCTTTCTGTTAATTTTGGTATAAATCGGATTTTTAAATATATGTTGGTATGTAAATGTTTGTTTATTAAGCTGCTTTTACATAAATAATGTTTTACAAAAGCAATAACTTAAAATATATTAATATTTCTTATATATGCATATATTATGCAATTTTTATAGGTATATATAAGCGGTGTGTCTTTAGATAAATGCATTATTGTGCTTAACGCTTGTTATTGAGCGTTCTATTTTAGTTAATACATATTTTGGTTTCAGTCTTGTTATTGAAATAATCTTCGCTCATATCAAAATATCATTAGTTGTATTTATAGCTATGGGCGGCAAGTAGATGGCTCGGATTTGACTGCGCAATCTTGCGATTTCCACATCTTCACGTTCCATTTCGCGCACCAACTGCGAGAACTGGACAAGCCCCTCTCGATTGCCTGGAAAACCATAAGTTTTAATTACATCCGTTTGCAATTGCATAACTAGTGGAAACACGTGCTGCATCATTAGCAACATTTCTTTCCCAGCTGAAGCTTTTGCTTCCGACAGCTTCTTAGAGTTCTCTGGCTGATTTACTGTGCGTATGATTTCAATGAGTATTTGCTTGGCAGTGTCATTACTGAAATTCACTAAGTAAGACATTTTAATAGCACTGGTATCTGACAATGAATTAAATTTTACTGTTTATTGTTATTTTGAGCAGTGCAGTATAAAATTTGTATATATTTACAATATTTTTATAAAAGAATATTTTGTTTACAATCCATGAATAAAAATTTTCACAGAAATGTCAATATGTGGAAGCTAAACTATCAGTGCTGGCAATAATAAAATTTATAAAATGAAATACAGTGTCCACAAAATGTTTTATCGTAAAGAGATATGTTTTTTTTTGTCCGAAACACATGAGATTATAGTTTTTTCTTAAAAAATTTAGATTGATATTTAAAAAATTGAACATCAAGTCTTTTCCCCTTTTTTTTCTCTTACATGTGCTTTTTAAATATATACACATATATAAAACAATCAACACGTTTTCGTTCACAATGTTAACAAAAATTGATATTTAAATTTTATTTAACACTTTTTCAATTTTTATTTATTTATTACTTCCATATTTATATATTATTTACCTACTTATCCATAACTTGTTTAAAAAAATATTTGTGCATTAATTTTCCAACCGTAAATATTTCACTTGCAACTCTGCTTTGTAGTGTTGTGGAATGCGATGGCAACATCGTTGAACTGTCACGAATGAAAAGTCATACAAAAAGGAGAATTCATCGTAATCCGAGTCTGTCACAGCAGTTTTGTTTTATTATTCAAAGGTTGTAAAGGTTTTTCTGGAAAAGCAAAACACGGAAACAACGTGTAATTTTCCCCAAAACGTTTGCTCAATATCAAACAACGGGTGCAAAAAAAGCTGGAAAACAAAAACTATTTGGGAATGCAAATACTGCAAATTTACTTATTGTCGAGGGAATACGACTTTTCCATACTACCTAAAGCAGCAACGACAGCAAGGCCTCCGTTCTTTGTACCGTCCATACGATTACACGAACAACAAACTACGAATCATCACCTTTGATTTGTTACCTTCCTGTATTACACCTCAAAAAAGACAAGGTACACAGTCATGGAGGATGGACTTACAAATGAACAAACTGAAAAGATCCTACAGTTCCAAGACATTACAGGCATTGAGGATATGAATATATGTCGCGATGTCTTGATCAGACATCAGTGGGATCTTGAGGTATATACATAAAATGTTGAATTGGTTTAGATAATTAACAACGTTTGTGTTTATAGGTTGCTTTTCAAGAGCAGATGAACATACGAGAAGGCATTCCATCAACATATGCCGCGTCCAGAGATGTACGCGCACCTGCTGTCCTGGACGATCGTTTTCTACAGCAGATTTTTTCTGCAAATATGCCTGGCGGCAGATCGGCACGCGGTGGAATTGGTCCTATACCGCGTAGCTTTTCCGGTATCATTGGCTATGTCATAAACATGGTATTCCAGTATTGCTACTCGACATTCGCCAGCGTACTAAATGCTTTACTGAGTTTGGGACGAAACGACGAGAGAAGTACGTACTAGCGTGATGCATAATTCTAATTTTTTATTAATATTAATTAATCTTTATATATTTCAGTCGTTACCGATCCTGTGGGCGATGTCATGAGTTTTATACGTTCATACAATGAACGTTATCCATTGCACCCTGTGTTCTATCAGGGCACATACGCGCAAGCGTTAAATGATGCTAAACAGGAGCTACGCTTCCTACTCATCTATCTACACAAGGATCCCACAAACAATCCCGATGTGGATTCACTGTGCCGTACAACATTATCGAATCAATCAGCAATTGATTTTATAAATCGCAATATGCTTTTCTGGGGCTGTGACGTATCCTCACCAGAGGGTTATAGAGTATCTCATACATTGAATATGCACGTATTTCCGACGATGGTGTTAATTGCACAACGCAATCATCGTATGGTTGTTGTTGGTCGCTTTGAGGGTGATTGCACACCAGAAGAGTTGATACGTCGAATGCAAACAGTGATCTCAGCAAACGAGATTTGGCTAAGTCAAGCACGTGCTGATCGTTTAGAACGTAATCTCACACAGACGCTGCGTCAACAGCAAGACGAAGCTTATCAGCTAAGTTTACGTGCCGATGAGGAGAAGGAGCGGCTGCGTCAGTTGGAACGTGATGCAGTGCGACAAGCAGAGGAGGCTATTGAACGTGAACGTGCCGAAGAGGCACGCAAAAAAGAGGTCCGTAATTAAAATCAAGTGCCATTTTCATTTATTTACAATGACTAATGGATGTTAATTTAATTATTAGGAAATTGCTCAACTTAAAATTGAGCTAGCCGAACAGGTGCCTAATGAGCCACCAGCTGGTACAGTGGACGCCATTAGTGTCGTATTTAAACTGCCAAACGGCGCACGCCTGGAGCGACGTTTTCTCAATTCCAATTCATTAATTGTAAGTAAAAATTATTTTTCTAATATTTTTTTAATTTAAGCTAATCTTGTGTTTATTTTCAATAGGATGTGTATAACTATCTGTTCTGTCATCCCTCTTCACCTGATGAATTCGAGATCACAACGAATTTCCCTAAACGCGTCCTCTATGCCAGTTCTTGTAATAATGGCGCCATCAATGGTAATGGCAATCAAACAACCTTAGCTGAAGCCGGTCTGAAGCATCGTGAAGTACTCTTTGTCAACGACTTGGAGGCGTAATATTCATAGCAATATTTTATACAACAAACAACAGCAACACACCACATAAACAATCAACGGTCAACATTTGATCGGATTTCATAGTTTAATATGTATAACAAAGAAGTTGGTCTTTTTTTTTTAAATTTGCATTGAATATGCAAAAACTACGTTATTTACATGCGGAGTGTTTCCAAAAGTTTAAAAAAAAAAACAGTAAAACGTATACGTAAATTTAAGAAAAGCAGCTAAGAACACACAATTTTTGCTTAAAGATATAAATGATTAGGCCATTTCAATGCTCCATGCAAACATACGAGTACATAGCAATAATGAATTGTTATTTAAATTATCTGTTTTATAATTTTCATTAGTTTAAGTAATTATATGTTTTCCTTGCTCTTTAACGTACTTACAAAAAAAAAAATTGGACTAATTTTAATTTCCTTCCAAATGCACTCCTGTATTGCTGCTTTACACACACTCTACTCAATTCTGACAGTCGTAACATAAACAAAAGATTTTATCAAAAACGATCATGATAAGATTTGTAGCATTCTTAATATTTCTATTGAAAAGAAACTGAAATAAAAAGTAAATATAGTACGTGTGAAACTTAATTGTTAAGCGATCAAAATATCGTAAATTATTGACTTTGACTAGCTGAACGAAGGAATATTAATAAAGTAAAGGAGAGTGTCCCAAATAGCAAGTTTAGCGAATAAATTTATATCAACTGCCACAACAGTCAGTTCTACGTTAGCGGATTTTATACGGTCCAAAACTGTTATTTCGAGGATCTAACACTGTTAGGATCAGTAAAAATAATTATTAATTTATATGTAACTCGGTAGTCAATAAAAAATTGATTAGCGCCGAGTTTACTGAAGACAATAAATTTCGCTTCGAGCGGAGCGGAGCCAGATGTTCAAAGTGACGTTGAGACCTTATCAGCACACTTACAATATATGTATGTATATAACAAATATTACGCTGTACAAATTCCTTCGCCACTACTGTATGCACAATGCGTTTAATGTAACACACTCGTACGCCAACTTTCGTGTGTGTGTGCGTCAGCCAAAGCACGACCATTGGTTGAACGAAAATTCCCAGCAATTCCAAACGAAACAATCGAACAAAGAAATGTTGTGCGCCGCCTACTAAGAGCGCTGGTCGCCTGTTACCATGTGGAACAATAGACGTGCTCGACGGCTCAAATGCGGTTTTTGGCATCGCCGATTGGTCGGTTGATTGCCGTCGTCGACATCGTCAGCAGAACCATCTGCTATAACGGACAACAAACACATCTCACCACTATTTTTCGCTCGACCGCACGTGCTGTGTGCTGTTGAGGGGATGCGACAGCTGCATATACACCTTGCGGCGACGGTAGGTATGCGAGCTGCGAAACAGAATTCGAACGGGCAACGGAAAAGAAATGGCGCACGCCGGCAATTCAGTGAAACAAAACGCTGCTGCATTGGAACGTCGTTGTGGCGGCGAACTCCGCCGTGACGAGCAATCGTTGTTGGCAAGTAAGTGACAACACGCCGGCGGTTGAAAACCAATTTGGTTGGATGGTTCGCTTCGCGGGAGATTGTGAGCGCTTCGAAATCCGCCGTAAGCGCGACGCCGTTCGCTGACAAAAGCGAATGCATCTTGTCTTTTTGGAGACAACTGCGGCGCAATGTGATGAGCGCATACGACGAGGACTGCCGCCGCAACCAAAAAGTCCGAATTCTGTGCGAAATATGACACTATGCACCAGGCGAACAAAATCGCATAGTAAGAGGGGCTAAAAATGTTGAGAGATGCAAACCCGCTTGTATATTTGTTGCCTTGTTGTTGCACTCTAATGTACACTAATGCCATGTGGGCGGTGCTAACAGTTGAGCACACAAGCACACACAGCCATTTTGTGTGTTCTCTCTCCCCTATTTGGTATACACACAGTCGCATGCGAGCAAACAGCCGTCGGCAATAACGTCGGCCTTCGCATTTCTGCATGCCTGTTATTATGTTCAGCGTTAGCGGACTTGTTTTATCCGCGTGTCGTCGACATCCGCGACACCCACTACATACACACACGCACACCGTATGCATGCAATTCGGAACGTGCTGGTAACAATGCCATTGTCATCGTAGTCGCGCGCACACGCCGACGACACGGCGCGGCACATGGCGGTCGGCAGTGCGACACGTTTGCCATGTGTGCGCGGCGTCGTGCCGCTCGTGTGCGCTCAAAGGCAAAATCAACCTGTTTCTTTCAAACACTATTGCAATACCGGGCGCACAGAAGTGTGGAGCAAGTCTCGTGCGTGCCGCCAGCTATCTTAACCAGTTATGGGTTGATAAGCGGTATTCTCATTGTACAGTGGATTGATAGTGGTAAAATATAGTTCTTTGATGTTTAAAAACATCTTTAGCAAAAGAACCCAAATATATGAGTTTTACTTACCTTCCATTTAATTATGAAATCAAACATTTGCTATAGAAATTCATATTTATTCCAGATTAAAAATACTACATACTAAAATAAAAGTAAAAAAATCGAGTTTTGTATATTCAAATGTATTTTTTATTAATTTTTTTAATAACATATTTTCTATTTAATTCCACTATTCAATCTAGAACTGATTATAAAAAAGTAATAAATACATTTATACCTGTTTCTTCGTCTAGATTCGATAAAAATTTTGATATTACAGAAGGAGTTTTCGGAACT